AGTCAATGCCCTTTAGTTTGTAAGTATATGTTACAAGACTTACACGCCAATATACTCAACTATTTGAAAGAAACTATTAACTATGCATAAGCCACTTAATTTTAAGTTTTGATACAATTACGCATAGTTCAATTTTCTTTGTGGGTTTTGTTACGAGCTTAAGTATATGTTTATTATGTTATGTGTTTACTTAGTCACATTTGTCACTGAAAAAAAAAACGATATCAACTTATAATAACACGTAATTGCTTTTTAGAAATCTTTTGTTTTATTTTTACAATTGATTTCAAGTTAGAAAAAACGTTTTATGCATAACATAACATACTCACGCCTTTTATCCCTGAAGGGGTAGGCAGAGGTGCACATTATGCCACTGTACAATGTAACACCCATTTTTCAATATTTATGTTATGAGTCCCATGTAATAGGGGGTGAGCCTATTGCTATATACCGGGCACGATTCCAGACTCCGTGCTACTACTGAGAATTTTTAAAGTAAAACTTTGCCCGACCCGGGAATCTAACCCGAGATCCCTTGACTGGCAGTCGCACTTGCGACCACTCGGGCAATGAGGCAGTCTTACGCATTACGTACTTAAAGAGTTGTCAACGCCATTCAATCACAAATCGACATTAAAAATAGCTCATAAGTACTCAACAATAAGGTCTAAGTACAATAATTTGGGCTACCTAGAGACCTTTTCACAAGTAATTGTTAGGCAAACATTATCACGTTACGATTCACAAAGTCTTGTTGTTATAAGTTGGTTGTCGAACTTTTTCGAGGAAAAGTGCTATCTAGAATATTTAGTTGGAACACGTGTATCATTAAAAGGAACAACTTGAAAGAAAGTTATCGTCAACTTAATGATACAGTTACAACTAAATATTTCTGTTGTTGAACTTAAAGATTTAGTGTTGTTTACTTTAGTAAATCCTTACTAATATTATAAATCGGAAAGTGTGTTTGTTTGTTTGTTTGTTTGTTCCGCTTTCACGCCGTAACTACTAAACCGATTGTTTTGAATTTTTGCAGACGTAAAGTTAAAAGTCTGGATTAAATAATAGGGTACTTTTTATCCCACAAAAATTTGATATTCTCGAGGAAAAACGAAATCATTGGTATAAATTGCGCTGTGTGTATATGTCACTTTTTATAATTTGTGATGCGAGCGAAGCCGCGGGTAAAAGCTAGTAATAGATATTCGATATATTCAAAGTTTGTTATGTGTTATTTTTATCTTTACCCTCGTATACAACATAGCATCATTTTATCCCCGATGGGATGCACATTACGGCACCTATTACCTCTCAGTCAAGTCTTATGTCACCCACGGAAAGAAAGGAAGTGGTGATAGAAATATCCCACTCTGTTTTTACCTTACTATTTACACAGGACCAGAATACCTTCGAATGTAGAGGTCCATATTCCAGGAATGGACTGTCATGAGTTAACATAACATAACATCACACTTTTTATCCCCGAAGAGGTAGGCAGAGGTGAACATTACGGCACTTAATGCCACTGTACAATGTAACACCAACTTTTCACTATTTATGTTATGAGTCCCATGTAATAGAGGGTGAGCCTATTCCCATATATCGGGCACAATTCCAGACTGCATGCTACTACTGAGAATTAAAAAAAAACCAGCAACCCCTTACCCAGCAGTCGCACTTGCGACCACTCGGCCAACGAGGCAGCCATGAGTTACTGATGTTAATAATTTTTATTTATTTATTTATTTATTTATTATTATCACACTTACATCTATCATTACGGGTTTAACCTAATGTGACAGAGAAGCTACTTACATTAAACAAAACATGCAAACAAAGTTAATAACAGCAGTATCCTTAGACCAAACATACATACAAGGACATAAAATATATATAATTAAAACGAAACTACAATACTAAATTATCCTAATAACATTAATAACATATCACCGAATACGCTACCCTTGTGA